ACGGAATTTGGTGTAAAATTAAAAATTGTCAAATTTTATTGAAATCGGTTCAGATTGGAATCTGGTTTTATTAAAAAGCGGGGATGTATGTTGCTACCTCTAATTCTCTAAAGCAAGAGAAATGCCACTCAACTTCAAAAGATGGCAGTTTCCTGCACGCTTGGTATTTGCTATAAAATTGATAAATCCGAAGGACAAACCCTTCGTGTACGCGGACTAAATTTGACATGTTTCTGCTTTTCTTATGTTCAGCTGTTCCTGGCATGTTCTCGCGTTGGAAGACCGAGCTATTTGTTTGTTTACGCATTAAAGTATTACAATAATTATGTTTTTTTTTTAAATTTTTGAATTTGTTTTATTATTCTTTTTTTAATCCAAAAAATATTTTGAATGCATATGGAATCAAAGGGGGTAGCGAAGAGCACCGGGGATTTCATTTGGGATTTCATTAAACTTCGGACGAAGGGATTTTCTGATCCATTTGTCACAAAGACTTTTACACATTTCTAACAGTCTATTCTAACATATATGGTTAAACGGGCGATGAATTGATTGTAATTGCCCTCTTTAGGTAGTTTTGCGGGTTTCACTACATTTTTCAATGTAACTGACTATATTTTTTAAGCCCGATGCTCTCCTCGTGGTGCTCTCCTATTACTAAAGTAGATCGATGCAGAATATGTTACTAAAATTCTTTATCCTTCCGAGGCATTCATGCATAGTGTTACTCATTACTCATTAAATAGAAATCAATTAGAAATCAATGTCGACATGTTGGATAACTACTATTTTTGTTGTTGTGCTAACTATGTTTCTGTTGAATTTTCTATGAACGCCTTCTCAAATGTAATTACTATATATTTTATTGATTTTAACTTGAAAATAAAATGTTTTATTAATTATATATACGTAAACAAGAATTAATAATTGATGAGTTTTACATTGAGCTAAGTTGTACGAAGGATGTGAGATATTCTCATCAATCTCAATAATTACTCAATTATGCAGAAACACTTTATGTACGCATAATAGTCATAATTAGCATTTCTACATTCTTTACTTAACTTTCAATAATTTCCCATATTGCTGATATACGGTACGGTAGCCATGTTTCGTTGCGCATCTGAAAACGTAAGCGACAATATCCGAAACATAGACATCGTAAGCAAGTGTTTTATTTCTATTTCATAGTGCCCGAATAGAATGTCCGTCACTTGAAATCCTCGCAGGAAGCATAAAATAAACAAAAACAAAGTACTCCAGTTGTTGGTAGACTCCATTCAATTATTCAATTACAATTTGCATCAATTTTGCATAAAAATGTTGTAAATGGAAATATTCATCGCACACAGCTAACAATCTGTGTGGTGTAGTACATATATACACACACACAAAAATGTACAGTAAAGTACTAAATTATTTATACAGAAAATTTAGAATGTCTACAATCTCTTGCAGTTAGTTAAATAAATAAATGAACCCAGACATAATTTAGATAGTACAAATTGGTAAAGGTCAGGACAGCGGGTTTGGAACAGGTTTTGGAGTTTACCAGTAGGTAAATTTCGCTGGGTCAGAGTATGACTGGGGTCTATACCACTATTTGGACTTATATGGACAGTTCTTTGGCAGCTGTAAACATCTGCCGATTTACAGGAGATTTAGTTGAAACAAGTTTGTCGTTTGTCGGAAATAGCATCAAATTTTAGAATAAGTTTAGATTTGTTCGAATTGGTCACCTTTGGCACAAATTATGGCCTTTTAATGACCAATGAAACCGTCACACGCTACCCGATTATTGCTCTGCGGTATTTTGACCCATTCCTGGCGAATCTCTTACTTGAGATGATCGTCACTTTGGTATTTTTTAGTGTCAACCTTTCTTTTCAAAATACTCCATACACAATAGTCCAACGGATTGGTATCCGGAGATTTTGGTGGCCATTATGCGCTTTAAATGAAGCGAGGAATCTCATTTTGTAATCATTCTGTTGGAATGTCCAAGATCTGCGGCCCAAGGCTTTAATACACCCTCCAGAATATTTTCGCGATAATATTCGTCATTTATTCTGATGCCACGGTCGATTAATACTGAAGTTGGTTGCAGTTTTTTCATCTCACACTGTATATTCGGTATTTTAATTTTTATGCGACATTGTTAACGGGAATTGTTTCAAGTCGCCTATTTTAATATAGTAATGGCCCCTATGAATGTCCATGTCTTCGTGTAGACCTCAATATAACGATAACTCCCTCTATTCGGTATTTTTAGATCTTAACAGAATTTTGATCGGATTTTATTTATTATTTATTTTGAAAATTTCCAAATTCGTTCCAAATAGTGGAGGATACATGATATAGCAAGTTGTAAAGAATCGCTGACTCGTTTCGCAAGTTATGACAGATAATACCTATATTGTGACCCTTTGTGGGTGAGGTCCCAGAAAGAGTTTGCAGATATATATCATCATCACAACAGATCTGGTGTCAGTAAAAATGTTTGTATGTGAATCGACTGTTAATTCCGCATTTTATGAGCTTATAGGATATTCAAAATTTTGATCCTTTGTGGGGGAGGTACCAGCAGGATTGGGCCTATATATTCCATCTTCACACAAGACATTGGGTTGATAAAAATATCGAGATATATGTAATTTGAAGACAATCGGTCTCTTATATCACTTTTTAAAAGAGTTATAATTATTTAACATTTTGACCCTTTTGTTGGAGATATTTAATGGAGTGGCCCGATATTGTCAATTTTCGTACCTGAGTTAGCAAATATTCCAATTTGTAAACTAAGAGCAAAATCGGAATATCCTTTCTCCTTCCGTGCAATATTTTTTTTTTTTTTTTCAAAATTTCCACCTTTTGTGGGGTAGGTACCACAAGACGTGGACCGATATTGCCCGTCTCCGAATTTGATAATAATATTATGATGTACCAAATTTCACATTTTACGAAACTTATAATTATTTAAAATTTTGATTCTTTGTGAGGTACTCGATGGAGTACGCCGATATATCATATGTTCACATCATCGGTGGTAGATATATTAGGATATTCCGAGTTTGAAAGTAACCGGATGCTCATTGTACGTTTTATGAGCTTAATGGTTATTCAAAATGTTGACCCATTGTGGGGGATGTACCAGAAGGCGTGGACCGATATGTCCCAGATCTTCTGTTGATGAAAATATTGGGATGTGTGAAGTTTTAAGAGAAATGGATTCTCAATTCTCAACATTATGATCGTTTTCGTTAATCAAAATTTTGATCCTTTTGTGGGAGAGGTACCAGAGTGAGTAGTCCGATATATGCCATCTTCACAACAGATCTTGTTTGGACAGAAATATTGAGATGTAGGGCAATCGGACACTTATTTCACAATTTATAAGAGACTTCGCTTACACAATTGACTTCAAAATTCATTAACATTCAGGCGAAACGGCTGAAACTAAAACCCCGAAGTGTTTGTTTGTTTTTCAAAATATTCAAAACACTATGTGGGGGAGGTACCACAAGAAATGGCCCGAAAATAAGTATAGATCGAAATCGGTTCAGATATAGCTATAGACCCCATATATATTGTTCATCCGATTTGTTATTTTTGTCCTTCGCAGCCGTAGCAACAATATTTGGGGAAATATATCAAATGCAGCTCAGAAATACATTTGCTACATATTAGCGAGATCGGTTCAGAATTCGGCACATGTAACCGAATTGAGTCTATATCAAATATATCAAATGCAGCTCTGAAATACATTTGCTACATATTAGCGAGATCGGTTCAGAATTCGACACATGCAACCGAATTGAGTCTAGAAGCTAGCATGCCAAATTTGGTGAAGATCGGTTCAGATATAGCTATAGCTCCCATATATATTATTCATCTGATTTTTAGTACACACAGCCGTAATATGCACTCCGTAACAACGATATTCAGGGAAATATATCAAATACAGCTCAGAAATATCTTTGCCAAACTTTATCGAAATCGGTTCAGATTTGGATGTAGCTCCCATATATATCTTTATCGGATTTCAAATTAAATTTGCACCAAATGGGCAATACAAGTCCGAATTTAAAAGATACAAATGTTTCGGCATATTTAGTCCTTTGAACTTTAAATTAAATTAAATTCTCCCATAAAAACTTTTAATTGTTATATGAAGCTCTACGGAATATTCAAAGTGGTGTAGGGTATCATAAAGTCGTCCCAGCCCGACTTTAGGACTTTTTTACTATTTTTCCTTTTTTTTGTGCTTTTGGGAAATTTCAACTTTTTGTTGGGGAAGTACCCGATTGAGTGAGCCGATACTGTCCTTTTAAGTTTGAACCAAGTTTGATAATAATATTACGACGCACCAAGTTTGGATCAAATCGGATACTCTCTTCGAGAGTTATTAGGAGTTCCAGACAGACAGATAAATGGACACCTCTAGTTAGACTCCAAATTTCCTGAAACGGATTTGGTCCAAAAAGACCCAGGATCTAAAACCGTTATATCGATGAGGCATGTTTGGTCGTACCAAGTGATATATACCCTATCTAGTCATATGGCGAGGGAATAAAAAGGCCTACACGTACTCTTGGAACGAATCTAAAACTTTAAAATTCACTTTTCGGTGACGGACTAGTGGGCAGTTGCTAGTATAACCATATAACTGTTGCGGATAGAACTGCTAAATATGCATAACAGTGTGGGGTAACATGCTCTTCCTTTAATGGACTTAATTGTTCAATGGCATTGAAATCTTTCGTGGATTCGACCGGCCTATTTTCATGGTTTTTGTTCTTATTCTAATCTATTTGTTTTATATATTGCAACTCATAACTATTTAATAATTCCGAAAATCCTGCAAATACTTTGATCCGCAACTGTACACAGAAATTTATTGCCACTGAAATATGCATAATCTTCAACATAAGAAACACTTAAGTCTATAACATTAAAATAATATTATTGCGAACGTTTTCTTGTTCATCTTCTATTTGCAGGCGAGAGGCCCGAGGCAATGCAAACAAATGCAGCGGGATCTACTGATGCAGGAATCCTAAACCTTTTTGCTGTAATTCTAACCGCATTTGTGGCACAATTTGCATTATGTCGCACTTTAGCAACATTCATTCGAGTTTTTATTGCCAACTGTCAGCGAGCTAGAAGTAACAGCCACACTAAAGCCCCAGTCGAGTATGGCAACAGCAGCAGCAGCACCGCCAGCACCACCACCACCAGTAGCCGCAGCAGAAGGACTTTTAATAGATTTTACACCAGCAATGATAATTGTGCAGTCGTCCATGAAGACAGCTCTCATGGCGATGCCAGTGATGAAACCACATGCAGCGTTGACAATGTAAATGTTTTTGAAATATGGAATACTGATGATTGCCGTAAAAAGCGGAAGAGCGTTGAACGATGGACTAGCACGGCAAACAGTAGATCAACGCAAAAGAGGGAAACACAAAGTGGCATCATCTCTTGCATCACTCCCATCCAGTGGAATCGGACACATGATTTACGGTGATTAAATACGAGCCGAGAATACCCATAAGAATGAATATATATACGAGTTAAGTAAATTAAAATAAAGTATGTAATCACATTGTAAATACTGTAAAACATTAACTGAAGTCTTGTTGGCCCGCCCTAAGGTGGCCTCTAGGTGTACGTAGGTATATCATGTATACTTGTGTGTGTAAATTGAAGCCAGACAGATGGGGAGAGACATTTACATATGGATGACATCACTGTAAAGGACATTATTTATAAACGTTGGTCAACATGATGCTGATATGTGAGGAGAGCTGGCGTGTGTGTGTATGTGTGTGATAATGATAATGACAGAATTAAAGAATAGTTAATAAGAAAAGTTAATAAGGTACACGCCTTGTTTTCATTAAAATAATTGTATTTCTTGTGAAGAATTCATATTGTTTTGTATAATATTGATACAATACAAGGTAGGACCGGTTGCAGACATTTGAAAACACAACTCGGGAGTTCGGATTAAAATTATAAAAAATATATATTTTTGATTTTTTTTTTTTTTTTTTTGCAATGTGGTCAGGTATTATCCCTTTATTGTTGTTTTTATAAAAACAACGTTTGTTTATTAATCATAAATTAATTATTTATTGAAGATTTCAGTAGCCTTACTTGTTGTATATACCTGTAATACGATCCGAAGTCTCCGTAAAAGAACTAGCGACTATTTACTAATTTTACAATTTTTTGGAATTCCGTTCCTGTAAGCGAAAAGCTAATAATACTGAAAAAGTGAGAAAGGAAAAACAGAATCTGACGATTCAAATGCTGTTCCAATTCTGATTTTATTTTTAAAATATGTTCCTTACGTACTACTGAAACTAATCTAACTTAACCTAGTCGCAGCCACACAATTGTTCTAATCTATTTTTATTACATGGCTGCATTCATTCAAGTCGTCTTGGCTACCTACTGGCGCATCGATATCTGTGTGTGTGGGTCATGTCCTTTATTATTTCTCACATTATCGTATACGACAGCGCACAAGATCACTGAATTCTACACATGTGATATTTTATCGCAGCTGGGAAACTGATATTTTGGAGTCTTCATTTTTTTAATTGTTAGAATTTCCCAGCGCCAGCACAATACTCTTAAGCTACATTTGAATAAAAAAAAGCTTTTTACTGGACACATTTTTCCTAGTGAGAAGATAAAGGGTGTCTCAACTAGAATGCAATTGTGAAATCGGTATCGTGAAATGGCAACCAGTTTTTTACCTGGTACTGAAGAAACGAATTTGGAGAGCATGTAGTTTCAACAAGACCGTGCCACATGTCATACAGCCAGAGTAACAATTCAATTTCTGGAGTCTTGGAGTTGGCCGCCCAGATCGTGTGATATAACACCTTTAGATTTTTTCTTTGGGGGTGTTTGAAGTCGATGGTTTACGCGAATAAGCCGGCGACGACAGTAATGGATGCAAAACTGTCATTGAAAATTGCATTAAGAGATCACGTGTGTGCCAGCAAAGCCGCTGCGGCCATCTGAGCCATAACTTTTTCCAAATATAACCTCATTCTGCCTACTTTACGATAATGTTTTTATGCCCTACAACACTATATGTTGAGGGTATTAAAAGTTTGATTGGGCCAAAAATTATGTAACACCTTGTAATATTGGTATATATTTATCTTCCTATCTCGGCGATCTGAGTCGATCTAGCTGTGTATGTCCGTCCGTCTGTCCATGTTAATTTGCAATCAAGCTGCAGGTCGCCATTATCGCCCGATCCTCACGAAATTGAAAATGGAGGTGTGAATAGGGTCAGAATAGAAGCCTATTGTTTTTGGAGACAATTGCAACATATTTAAGGTTTGAAATGGACCAACGATTTTTGCTGGACGGAAGTTTACCAATTTATACGGTCATCGGGCAACATTTAGCGGGTAAAATAAATTATAAACTTTATGTCAAAAAAATACTAAAATTTCCACTAAACCGCGAATATTTTTTTAAACCGTCAAAATCACAAATTCATTAGAAGGTCACTTTTGACCATTACAGTTATGCTGATAGCCACGATATGTATTATAATATATATTTAAAAAAATGTATCTTAGTCATTCTTAGTTATAAGTCCTACCGCTGGACTGATTTAAACAATTTCCATCAATTCGGGATGGTATATTGTCAAAAAAGAATAGAATCAAAGAAAATCGCGTAAAAATATGCCAATAAATAAGTGAATATTATTTGTTACATTTATTCAATTTTTGTGATATTTTTTATCGCACGCGATTGTTTCACTTTGACTTACAATTTTGAATTGTACATTTTCAAAAGTTTTTTATTTTTTAATTTCTTATTATTTTTTGGGTTACAAAATAGACCACAAACTTTCGTGCAAAGTCACATTGTCGTCCATGCAAATCCATCAAAATACCGAATATCGGGAGGTTATATAGGCTATACCAAAAGGTGGATCTATGTATGCAATGTTTCGCCACCGGAGATAGAACCCGTTATGAACAACAAATGACAATTTTTAGACAAATTCGTGAAAAAAATGTGGCAAAAATCATCAAAATACCAAAAATCGGGAGGTACGGTTATAAGGGGGCTATACTAAAGCGTGGACCCATACATACAATTTTTCACCACATGAACTAGGACACATTATGACCTACGATCTACGTCAAATAATGTGGGCTGTATCGTGATTTCAAAGACAGACAGACAGACGGACATCGTTAAATCGACTTAGAATTTTATGCTGATTATGAATAATATACTTTATGCGGTCTACGACGAATATTTAGGAATTTTACAAACGGAATGACAAAAATAATATACCCTCCTTTCCAAGGTGGAGTATATAAAAATACCGAATGTAGCTGTTATATCAGGGTCTATACGATGACATAGATCTGCATAGGTAATTTTTGTCATAAGCCATTAAAATATTCAAATGCGAAACCAAAAAAACAGGTGAATATAAGGAGGTAGTATTATGTGGGGGCTATACCAAAACGTAGACCTGCAAAGTCAATTTTCTATCATAGGCTGCAGTATCAATTACGAACTTCAAATACCAAATTTGAAACAGTTCCGGTGAATAATGTCGCTAAAATCATTAAAATACGGAATATCGGGAGGTACCGTTATATGGGAGCTATACGAAGACGTGGACCTGCACAGAAAATTTTTTGTTTTCGGTTGGAGTATCCATTACGAACTTCAAATACGAAAATTGAAACAATTCCGATTAATAATGTCGCTAAAATCATCAAAATACCGAATATCGGGATGTACCGTAGTATGGGGGCTATACAAAGACGTGGACCTGCACAGACAATTTTCCGTCTTAGGCTGCAGTATCCGTTTTTAACTTAAAACCCCAAATTTGAAACAATTCCGGTGAATAATGTTGCTAAGCTTTGAGCAGCCTCGTACGAAAAAGTATAAACAAAGCACACATATTCTCTCTCGATTTTCATTTACCGTTGGTAGGGCAAGAGAGACTCTCATTACTACTAATGGATATTTTCTGACCAAGGCTGCGCTAAAATCATCAAAATATCGAATATCGGGATGTACCGTTATATGAGGGCTATACCAAGACGTGGACCTTCATGGTCCATTTTCAATACCACAAGTCCTGCAGATATAATATACATTTGAGTAAAATTTTATCAATCTACTCGTTTCGTTCGGAAGCTAGAGTGATTTCCACGGACGGACAGATGGACGGACATCGCGAAATCGACATAGAATTTTATGCTGATCAGGAATAAATATCTACTTTGTAGGGTGTAAAATGTATATTTCGAGGTGTTACAAACGGAATGACAAACTTAATATATCCTCCATACTATGATGGAGGGTATAAAAATGTTTATCAACCAATTATGAACGCAGGTCGAAATATATGTCATTTCTTTTTAAATTCGTAAACATTTACTTCTACGTTTTATACAGATATACGAAGTTTTCGATTTTTCCATTTTTTGACACTGGAAAACCTAAAAATCGTTGTTCGGACAAACTCTGACTACAAAAATAGTTTTTTTACAACATCTTATTTTGCTGTGTGCCTGGCACGAGACATAAATCCACTTCGAATGTTCTGAAATTGTAATATTATTTTTTAATTTTTTTTAATAAAAAAAAAATAAAATGAAACATATTCCATGTCACTGACGTCCTACACTTTTCTTATTGACATTCATATTCGATAAACACAATAAAAATTGCATTAGTCGATGAGTTTTGTAAAAAAAATATATATATTCCACACACACGCCCTCCACAACATGTTGCATTATTAATATTATAGACAACTGATAAAAAATAAATGTATTCACATAATTTTTTTTTTTTTTTTAATTGTATATCCATTGTAATTAATGTGCAAAAGAAACTCTGAACGTCTAATAAAATTATTGAAGTAAAAAATACATACATATATATATATTTAGACTTGGTTTATATAGCAAACATAAATATTGACATGACTAGCCAAGAAATATGGAAGTGAAAAAGAAGAAATAAAAAACAATATTTGTAATAAAGTAAACAAATCGCATATAAGTGCATAAACAAATACAAGATAAACATTGTTCACAACATATATTTCCAGGTATCTAATACCGTAACATTATTAAAACTAAAGTTAGTGATAATTAAGTCAGTCATACTTAAAGCCAATAAATAATAAATGTAATAATCTTCAAGAAATGAGAAACGAGAAACATAAAAAACTCATACTACCCATTATAGAAATAAAAGGAATAATAGAAACTAAAAAAAATGGTTGAAAGAGAAATGGAAAGAGCGATTTTGTTTTGTTTTAGAACAAAGCTTCCCTTTTGCAGCATAGATGCGTCAAAAACTGTTCTATTTTTTTGAAGAGCCTTCTTTTCTTGATTTCTTTGCCTTCAAGAATAGTTTTACATTCAACAATTTCTTTTTTTTTTTGTTCAACAATGTGTCATAGAACTGCTCTAATAGTATTGTAAACAAAAGAAATCCAGCTGAAAAGAAACGAAGCAATAGCATGATTCCCAACATTAACTTTTATCTCAAGTGGACGATGACACAAATAGCAGAACAGAAAATTTTGTACG